ACTTCCAAACTTCCAAAACTAACGATTTCTAATTGAAAACCTTTATGAAAAGCCTCACTGCAACAGTGGTACCCCTTATAAGTGATAAGTGCCAAGGATCCACAATAGAGAGGGGATCCATAACTATAGCGCCTCTCTCTATTGTAGCTCCTGGCTTGCTTTGGAATGCGTCCCTTTACAATTCTCTTTTCAACAAGAGATTTCACAATAAAGGAACACCTAAAATATTCAAACTTCTAAAACTGCCGATGTCTAATTGAACAACTTTTTTGAAAAGCTTGACTTCAACAGTCTTGCAAAGGGTACACCTTATAAGTGCCAAGGATCCTGATCCACAATAGAGAGGGGATCCATAAATATAGCACCTCTCTCTATTGTAGCTCCTGGCTTGCTTTGAAACGCTTTCCTTTACATGTCTCTTTTAAACAAAAGCTGCTACTACTACTACTGCTACTACTACTGTTACTACTACAGTACTGCTAGTACTACAAGTACTACTAGTACCACTAGTACTAGTACTACTCTTACTAGTACTCCTCCTACTCCTACTACTACTACTACTGCTACTACTCCAGAGGACTATTATTACTCACCCCTCCGAACAATCGGTAAAAAAAGATTGGCGAGGGGGGGACGCCCACTAATGTAATTAGTTCTTAAATACTGACCCATCAAAAACAGCAATCAAATTCAATTCTTCTAGCCTCCAAAAACTATCAACATATTTATTTAATCATCCTGAAGAATATAACACAACAAAATAGTTTTGGCAAAGGGCCGTCCTTACGAGTGCCAATGACATACAATTATTTATACAGTGGTCAAAAATAGATTTACCCTTGAATTCCAACTGTCTCCTAGGTGGCAATAGTAGACCTGACATTCTCCTGCACAATAATGAACATCCTTCAGAACTATTGCCACTATTGCACTAGTAAAACCAACTTTCTCCCTGTTCTTAAGGTCTGAGGTTTGTTGCGAGTATATATAGTTTATTACGACAAACAAGTTTAATTTTGTTCCCCCCATTTTTCACCAGGGGGTAGGGTGTATTACTGCAATGCGCACATGATCATCTTACGCTCCGTGCCCATTTTCGCGGGTGACCCAGAAAAGAACTACCCGGACCCCCATTTTCGCTTTCCTTGGGCATGTTTTCGTTCTGGTTCTGCTAGCTTGCTACGGGTGATGGTTTCATGGTTTGACTCAAGCAATGCGGCGGCAACAACTGTGCAGCCGCGCGTGTCCAGCAAATGTTGTTGCTCCGATTGCTGAGTTTGCGCGTCGGATATGCATTGGCCTCAGCACCAGGGCCAGGCGCACATCGCCGCCGACGAACATCGACAGAGACATCGCTGAATGGAGGAGCTGAACTGAAACTAAGAACACGGACGGTGACCCGTGCCAACGCGGAAGAATCTGGATAGAACATTCTAAGAAGGTGGGACTGGGGTGGGTGCCAGGAGGGTCCAGTCATACCTTCTGAGGCACGGCTGGAGCCCTGTGGACCGGCCCGTGGCCCTGATCGAATTGGACCGCCCCCAAACAGCCGGAACGATTTGGTCGATCGATCGGTTGGTCGACCAAATAAGAATGGCTGGGGCACCAACAGTGGATGCAATGTTCACACTGGGAAGGAGCTAGCAACTTATCCTTCAAATACTTTAATTGGTTGTATCAGTGAGTAAGGCTCATCATCGATGGCTGCAATCTTCGCATGGGCTGGCCCTTCACAAGCTGGATTGGGAGAATTCTTGCAGAGCTCAGTCAACTTTCAGCTCCAGCTCGTGCCCGGCCCAGTCCATGCTTTTTGGGTCTTTCGGATTTGGATCCCAAATCCTCTTCTCACTGGCACACTGGCAGGTCTTTCCAAGTAACAAAATCACCCTGCCAAGGCGCGCCAGCGGCGTTGCTCCGCCTGGCTGCGGCAGCCCCGCGGCTTTAAGGAGACATAAGATGGCCCCCTCCTCTACAAACCGGTGGTGAACTCTACTTCCATGAGCGTGCCGCCGAATCTTCTGTTGACCCATGTCGTGGGCAAATCATGGAAACATGAGGGGATAGGTTCCCCTGCGAGTCTAGCTGCTTTCGGTTGATTGCCAGTATTTAATGCGGGAAGAGGGTGGCAGGAGGAACTTGACCACTCCATGCAATTGAAGACCAAGCCAAGACTTTCTTATCATGGTCCTATATTAGCAAAAGACTCATGGACAATGACAAACTACTTTCCAGTTTTGATCAGGCAGCTGTCTCCACCACTCCGCACTAAAGACCCGGATGGTCCAGAGATCACAGAAAATATTCTGCAGCGGGGAGAAGGTTCACTGGATGTACTTTGACAGGCGATGTGCGCGAGTTCTTCCACCATCTTCCACCGACACATCGACAAACACACACTTATGATCACTTATGCATACGGAACTGAAAGCGGTGCCACACGCCGGCCTAGGGTTCCAATTCCTAAGAGTACCGGTAGGGAACCAGCGAATCCTGGGGGTCTTCAAACGGAGAAGTGGCCCAAAGAGGAAGGAACCGAACGACGAACGAACAGGCTGACGACGGTCCGCTCGCATCTGCAGTGCAAAGAAAAACAACAAAACATCTAAGCATCGAGGTTCTTGGCTTAGCCTCTTGCAATTCGGAAAAGGAAAATTGCAGGTACGTCCAGCTGGCCAAGCTGGATATCCCACCAGATTGCATAGCTTTGTTAGACACGGTCTGCAATCTGGTGCCGTGTCCCCCTGCGGAAAACAAAACAATCCAGTTGGATCCCTGTGACTACAAGGGTTACACACTTCGAACTTGGAGTTTCAGTTAACGCAATTGTCTCAATGGGAAAAAGACGATGGAACGGCAAGGTGGAA